ACTTCCGGTGCGGTATTACGGGATTACGGGTTCTATGTGACGCCGGCCTTACTCTGGGGGCGCGATTTGTAATGCCGAAGATTAGGACAGCAATAATTCCGGTCACTTTATTAACTCTAACAATAAGTTTATTGCAAAAATACAAAATCTAGCCGCGACTAACTTATGGTCACAGAAAACGAGAGGAACTTAAAATTACTGGGATCGGAAACTAACTATACTTTTTTGGGAATCTTTGGGAATGTGTGTTCTCGTTGGCTGAGACTTTGAACAAGTATGCTATAGAAGAGTCTCCATGCAATGTCGACCGCTGTCGCCATCTGCGTATTTCCCCGTCTAGGGAATTGGACAAGTGGGCCGCCACACCTGTGCTGGCTCATTGCAAGAGCCAATCACGACACAACCTCATTAGTTAGGTTAAGTTAAGTTACGTGAAAGTATTCTCTTGGTTGGTGTTAGTATTGTTATACATTAACAAATATGATGTCCATAGCAAATTGCAAAGCAAAAATTAAAAATAATGCAATTGCATTTTTTTATGTTGCACTGCAGTGGCAATGGCCTACTCCATGGGTGTTTACGATAATTCAAGTTCGAGTTAGTTTCACTAAGACCAAAAAATGAGATAGACATAATCATCTAGAACCTTTATGATTTATGACAACTCGACGCTGTCTTGTATCAAGATCTATAGAGAGAAGGTTACCTCACGCGCAAAGAGGGACGTGCGGCAAGAGGGACAAATGCTGAGCGTGGCGAGCGGCAAGAGGGGCAATGATAATCTTATCGGCAAACAGAAGCTATCTCAGACAGCTACTGTTTGTCGATGAGATCATCATCATTGAGTAAAAAGATACAGGAGAGAGCATATACTAGCAGGACTAGGCAAATCCGCGGACGGATGTACGTCATGGCAGCCATCTTGAGCGACCACTTTTTGAAAGTGAGAGGGAATGCTCGAGCATAGCGGCAAGCGGCATACCGTACGCCGTACGCATTAATATGCAGTGTATAGTCTTTTATGCAACAGTGTATGGAAATAAACGATCAAAATAG